CTGGGGGTGGCTATGTTTGATTTCTAGGTCTGGGTGATACATGAGTGTGTTCTCTTGAAGGAATTCATTGGGCTGTACAGTTACGGTCATGCACTCTCCTGTATATTACACTTGAGTTAAAATGTTAAAATAAAGTTAGAGAACCAGAAGAGTCTGGAACTAGTGAAACAAAATGCTGTTGTACTTGAGATGGAAACTTTTTTTGAGTGGCACTAGGCATTACCTTCCCACCAGGCTTGTTTCCTTACTCCTGTGTCCAGGCGTTTTCTAGCCTGACTGCAGGCTTTTCCTCATGGAAAACAGCTGTTGAATATGTTTACTTGTCCTGGTGTAATGCCAATTTGGTGAGAGCAGGGATCTAAATTGCTGTATTCCCTGCATCTATATCAATGCCTGGCACACAGTAGCTGCTCAATACATATTTGCTACATAAATGAATAAGTATTCAGAGTATGTATGATAAAGAGACAAAATAATCTATTTTCCTAATCCTCTTCTATTTTCATGAGATCAACATTTTTTTCTTTTTTTCTCTCTAGCTTCCACATATGAGAGAAATCCTTTAACTCTTGACTTTCTGAATCTGGCTTATTTTACTTAGCATGTTCTCCAGTTACATACATTTACCAGCAAATGTAATTTCATTCTTCTTTATGGCTGAGTGAAATTCCATTGTGCTTGTATGTGTATCACATTTTCTTTACCCATTCATCTATTGAAGGGGCACCTAGGCTGGTTCTATAACTTGGCTACTGTGGTCTGTGCTCCTATAAATGTTGGTATGCATGTATCACTATAGCATGCTGATCTTAGTTCTTTTGGATAAATATCAGAGAGTAAGATAGCTAGGTCATATGATGATTTGTTGCTTGATTTATTTTTTAACCAGGGATTGAACCCAGGGGCACGTAACCACTGCGCCACCCTTTTTGTATTTTTTATTTAGAGACAGGGGTTTCACTGAGTTGCTTGGGGGCTTCACTAAGTTGCTGAAGCTGTCTTTGAACTTGAGACCCTCCTGCCTCAGCCTCCTGAGCCTCTGGGATTACAGGTATGTGCCACTGTACCTAACTGTTCCTAGTCTTTTGAGGAATCTCCATATTGCTTTACAAAGTGGTTGTATTCATTTTCAGCCTCACCAATAATGTATGAGTGTACCTTTTACCCACATCCTTGCCAGCAATTATTATTATTTGTATGGTTGATGACTGTCATTCCATCTTGGGTGACATAAAATATCAGTGTAGTTTTGATTTGCATTTCCTTGATTGCTAGGGATGTTGAACATTCATATATTTCTTGGCCATGTCTATTTCTTCATTTGAGAAATGTCTGTTTAGGGTGAGGGAAGACAAGAGGGTAGGTAAAAAGGGAAAGAACTGGGGAATGAAAGTAACCAAATTGTGGTATGTATATGTATTAATATAAAATTCATTCCAATTTCATTTATTACTATAATGCACTAATTAAAAAATAAATAGAGGATCAGGGAAGAGAGGAGAAGAGGGAAAAAGGGAAGTACTGGGGATTGAGAATGTACAAACTATGTTATATGCATTTATGAGTATGTAAAATTATAATGCATTAATAAAAACATTAAAAAGAGACAAAGTCCTTTGTTTGAGCAGAAGTTAAACTTCTTCCATACTGGATTTGTTCTGTGATATTTACATTTTATAGCTAAGCACAAGCATTTGTTCTTAAATTAATGCAGGAAAGTATCACTTTGTTACTGTGAATCCGAAGCTCTCTATCCCCTAATTCCTATTTTCTCCATCAAAACAACAATTTTTTCACACAGTATTTTTCATAATGATAATTTCTTGGGGATGCAACCACACATTAAGGCAGAAAAGAATGAATGTAATAAGATGGCAAAGTGGAAGGACTAGATTATAGACACCACAAAAATCTGGAGGAGGAAGAGATCCTCCGGGGCCGAAGCATTCAGGGAAATTCCCTGAGTAAGCAGGAGTTTGAGCTGCCACAAAGGACAAATAGAATATGAGGAAGGACCAGGTGTCCAGTTTAAGGAAGTAAACAGAGGCATGGAGGGTGGGACCTGTTCATACCACTCTGACTGGGGTCGGGGCAGCCTAAAGAGATGAGGATCCATTATGGAAGCTCAGAGGGAGGAGGAGATGTGGCTCAAGAACCTAGGGCACCTCCATCTCCAGATCATTGCTTATTGCTTCTGTTCCTCGGCCACATTCATCATTATTGTTTATAAATAATCTTGGCCTTCCCTTCCCTGGGTCAACCATAGTATTTGTTGTGGTAATGATGGTCCAGTTAGAGGTGGTGTGTATCCTAAGCGTGCATGTATATACTCACTGTCATGGTCATTTATTTGCTTCTCTAAATCATTGTACTTCCTCTTTTTGGAAGCTATGGTACAGATCTTTTCATTGATAATTGAGTGTCCATTTTAGACTAGACATTGGGGTAGGAAGATGAGAAAGAGGCAGTTTAGCTTTCTCTAACTAATAGGAAAGAAACAGCTACATAAATATTTGCCATTCAATGACATGTACACGGTGTCAGAATGATATTTGAGAAACAACATTAAAGAAGGGGACAATAATCAAAATTGGTACTGGGGGTAGTTGGGTTCAAGAGAAGATAACTCATCCTTTTGGTGCTCCTGGGACACAGTGCTGAGTTTTGAGTCAGTGATGTGGTCACTGCCAATCCTGAACAAATCAAAAGGGGAAAAATGAGGGGTAAGCAGGAGTCACAAGTGAAAGTTCATGGGTTGAGTAGAGCCAGGAAAAAAAAATGACCAATTTAGCTTATGGATTTAAGAGAGAGAGCAAAGATGATTAGGTATATTTTAAAAGTAGGGTTACTGATCCAATAGATCTGGATTAAGTTTCTCTTGAGATTGCAGAAAACCTGGCACCACCTGCCCCTTGTCTTTTCATGGCAACAAGTGCCAGCCATTGCCATGTTATTCTTCCCTTCTGGTCCCTGTAAGGATTTCAACTCAATCCCTATTTAATGGCATGGTGGGGTCAAAGACCAGCTGAGGGTGTCTGTAGCATACCATACTGGGTAATGAATTCTGTGCTTTGGGATTTTATCAAAATATTATGAATCCATCAGGGAAGACTATTAACATGTGGTCACATGCCAAAGCTCTAAAAAAAAAAAATTCTGCAATGGAATTGTGCATTCACTGATTTAGATGTAACCTTAGAGAGAGGGAATTGTAGTTTCTTTCATGTTGTTAATGCTACTTTACTTCAGAATGACTGTGAAGATGAAAATATGATTTAAAAAATGAGGATTTTATATAATGGATGGATGCAGTTTACAAACACAAGAGAAGAGGGAAAGAGCAAAGCTATAGATGCAATAAAACTTTTGCAATGGAACAACTGAGCATACAAGAGCTTGGAGAAAGAGCAGCATCTGGGGAGCCCTCTAAACTTTAAGTAATAAGTAATATAAACATTGGTGCATTAGGTTGAGTGAGGCTGGTGGGGGGCAAGGAGCCTCCTGGCAGAGTCCAGCATTGCCTTCAACATCAAGGGATGGCCGGGTGCGGTGGTGCACACTTGTAATCCCAGTTGCTCGGGAGGCTGAGGCAGGAGGATCATGAGTTCAAAGCCAGCCTCAGCAAAAATAAAGTGCTAAGCAACTTGGTGAGACCCTGTCTCTAAATAAAATACAAAATAGGGCTGGGGGATGTGGCTCATTGGTCGAGTGACCCTGAGTTCAATATTCCCCTACCCCATACCACCCTACAAAAAAATCAAGGGATGGTTACTTTGAATGAATATAATAGTTTTCCATACTGGTGATAACCCTAAACCTTTCTTGAGCCTATTGAATGGTAAATAAAATAACATTAAACAAAATAAAACAGGAAGGTTAGCAGGCAGAAGAAGTCTAGTAAATCAAAGCAGATTAGAAACCCGGCAGCAGATGTATCTTTTCCTTGGCATTTAATCCGGCAAATAGAGGTGGTTTATGGTTAATATGCAGGTTAGTTATTTTCACTTCCTCATCAGAATCTTGGCTTCTTAAATGACAACTTTCTTCTTATAATTAGTGTAAGTAGAACTCAGACACACATTAATGGGGTCTCTTTGCAACCAGTGAAAACGATAACTGTCTTTTCTCTGGAGAAAAGGAACAAAATGAGAATGGTAGGTAGGAAGAGTGAAGGAGGGAAAATAATTTCCTCCTCTGAGCACATTTTCCAGAAGTTCCATCTTTACAGTAATTGGCTTTGTAAACTTATATGATGATATCGTGGTTATTGAATCTAGATAAAAGGGCATCAGATGGAGTGACCTGAAAGGAAAACAGTGAGTAGATCCTCAAACTGCGGTGTCTTTTTATATACTCATTTTCTCCTCATCCAACAGAGCAGTCCCCAGCCTATTCTCATGCTCGATTTCCCTAACCTAGAATTTGCTCTTGAGTGAGGAAAATAAGCTTGGTGAACCAGGATGAAGGTTCGTGGGAGTTCAGTGATTTTTTTTTTTTTCTCTTTTCTGTAAGCAAGTTTATTAACAAAAGGAAGGCCGCTGTCCCAGGACAGTAGGTCTCAATCACTGCTATCCAAGAGATCACTTGGGCCTCTTAAAAATAACCAGACCTGGGCTGGGGATGTGGCTCAAGCAGTAGCGCGCGCTCTGGGTTCGATCCTCAGCACCATATAAAAAAAAAATAAAATAAAGATGTTGTGTCCACTGAAAACTAAAAAATAAATATTGAAAAATTCTCTGTCTTTAAAAAAATAAAATAAAATAACCAGACCTAGTTGCCTTCCTGTACCCACTCCAACAATTAAATCAATCTCTTGAGGTGGAGTTTGGGCATAAAGATGTTTGAAAAAGTCCTCAGATGATTTTAATGTGCAGTCAGCATGAGAAGATTTGAGATTTAGGTCGGTTTCTGAAGCTGTAGGGACTCGCAGAGGGGTCCATGTTAGCCCAGGGGTCAGCAGCCCTCTTTAGACAGGATAGGAAACCAAGGGATAAACTACTTAAGCGAGAACTCTGGTTCCTTGCTTTCCCCCAATTTTTTTCTTTGCTCTAGTGAACGTCTGCCATTGGTCCGGGCCGGCACCGTCTGCGCTACCTACAGCGGCAGTACCTCAGGTTTCCTGGTCTAACCAACCTTCTGCGGTTCAACTCTGCCATCAAAGTCGGGGAGCTCTGGCTCCACCCATTGCCCTGAAGTACTCTGGGAACCCAGCTCAGCTAATTAGAAAACGAACTGCCCTCACCCAGAGTGATTGGTTTAGGCGCAGGCACGTGACTGGATCCCAGCCAATGAGAGACAAGTTTTCATTGAGCGCAGCCCAGGCGCTTTTGCGCACTGTCCATCATCCTGTCTGGTGGGGGCAGAGCCAACCTTGGGCCACCAGGACGCGCTGGAGATAAGAAGGCCCCAGGAGATGCCCCGGCCCTGGAGACATGGTGGTTCCAGGTAATAGCCACACTTGGTCTTCCTCTTTACCGAAGCCCCGGGCCTCCTCTCTTGCCTGAGCTAATAGTTGCGGCCACCTTTCTGTCACTTACAGTTTAGCATTCTGCCCGACTGGCTCCTCCTGTCCTTTGAGAAATGTAAAGAAATCCCCTGTGCTCGCAGCCATGGGTGTCCTGAAGGGAGATGCCGCCCAGAAGTGGAATCCATTGGAAGGCCCTGTCAGGGAAGGCCCGCAGACGCTCAGCCAGAGTGGGGCGCAGGCTTGGATCTGTGTAAGGACTGTGAAGGTTGCCAAAATAAAAATAGAGTTTCTTGAGTCAGCCCTAACAACAACACAAATAAATAAATAAAGCCAGGAGGTGATAAAGAAAGGCTTAGGCATGATTGCCAGATAGTAACTATTCAAATAGAGTGCCACAATCCCGGCCTTACATAAAGGACTTGCAACTTTGTGCAAAAAAAGTACTTTTGCGAGACATTAGCTCAGCAAGTACAGTTCAACCTGGGACTAATGTCACCTTGTTATTAATCTCTGTGGCCAGAGACGATTATTTCCAAACATCTAATGTAGTCCTCGTTTTTTCCTTTAAAAATTTCCTCTTGCCTCAACCCCTTTGAATGAGACCATAGTTTACTATGGCAAGCAGAGACCCATTGTGATGTTGGGCTTTTCCCAAATATATGCCATTATGCTCTGAAGAATCTTTCTTCCCTCTCCTCCCCTTCCCTTCCCTCCTCTTCCCTTCCCTCTCTTCACTTCCTTCCTTTCTTCTTTCACTTTATCCCTTTCTCTCTCCTCTTCCTTCCTTCCTTCTCTCTCTCTTTCCCTCCCTCTCTTTCTTTTTTGAAAATTTTAGCCTCTGTATCTTGTCTATCTTCTTGGGTAGGGAACAGCATGAAGAACCATCTTGAAGGCAGCCCAGGTGGGATCCTCCTGGGTATGCTTGATGCTGGGAATGCTGGCAAAGTTGTAGGAGTGCCTCACAACAGGCCATTTGATTAGTTTCTTGTGGACTCAGTGAACCAATTCAAACTTGTATTGCTCTCATGGTCCAGTGTCACAAAGAATAACCCACAGAAGAGTATTTGTTTCCTGATCTCCATTTTTAATAAAAGCATATACTGTGCAAGCCTCTGGAGGCTCTCAAGAGTGTTGTAGCTAATATGTGTGGAGAACTTTCTATGTGCCAGCCACGATATGTGTAAATATGTGTCTCAGATTCTTAATATATTCATTTTATTCTCATGACAGTCATAGGAGGTTATTATTGTTATTTTGTGCATTTTGTGCCTGAGAAAACCAGGGTGATTTTAAGTCAATTCTCACAGTCTCATGGCCATGAAGTTGCAGATGTGGGATTCCAAGTCTCTCCTAGCCTCAAGAAGGCCACTTCCTCAACCAGGAACAAATAGTCCTATATGGTAGGAAAGAAGAAAAGCCTGCGGGATCCTGGGTGATAGTGGATGCCATTGGCAATTACCTTTTTCAGGTGTGTATGTTTGTAGTCACTCTTAACCTCCTGAAAGGAATGTTTACTCTTCTGGACTTGGGCTTGGCTGTATAAATATGTATTGATTTGGAGGGACTGTTCCTGGGGGTGAGGAGCACAGCAACTCGGATGTCAACTGGTGCCACCACTGTTCCAGACACAGTAGCACATATACAGTGCCTGATCATTGAAACCATAAGGGGTGTTTTGTTGACAGAAGGCAGCATTTAACAACATTTTCCCTTTTTAACTTTAACATGTAAAGTAACATTTGGTTCCCTGGGCATTTTTGTTCTCACTGGAGCTCTGAATTGCGACCTAATTAGTACCATTGCCTCCAAATTGGAGCTTTCCTCTCCCAGGGATGGGGTGGGGGGCATTGGAGAACATTTCCTATTAGTTGTCCCCCACTGGCTGTATACTGATTTTAGTTTTTTCAACTTGTCCCTCTTTGCCCCAAATAGCTCAGAGGAACAAAGAGAATATAATCTTACTTCTTGCCACACCTTCTGTTTTGTTCTTTTTTTCCTACTTCATGGTCAGATTGAAAAACAAAGCATTTCAATGTGGCCATTCTCTCCTGTGGTCAGAGGCCAGCCCTGAAATTTCAAAGAAACCTTCTTTGTTCGAGATTTAAGAAAACAATCACCGCACAGCAAACATTGATATGACTTTTAATGGCCATTTACCTGATTAATATCCTTTCATGCTACAAGGCAGCATGAGACACGGGCGCTTTAATGAGAGCCAACAACAAAGCGTGGACCAGGTGTGTTACTAAGAAACAATCTCTTGTGTGATTTAATTAGTCAAAGCATTGCATGGAGCAATTATAAGCAACCTTACAGAAGTGGCAGGAGTACAGAGCCCTCTGCTCTAAATTGGTTTTTTAAAGAAAGACATCATGATTTAATAACTGTGCATCTCTAGTGAAAGAAGAAACCCTTCTTTAATTGGGAGCAAGAAGGAAAAAAAAAATAACACGCTAATCACAATTTTTAGATCGTCCTCCACCTCCCCTAATCTCTTCCTGGGAAAAAGAAAGAAATAAAAACAACAGCAATTTATAAAAGGATTTGAGAAGGATTGTTTCTGTTATGCTTTCTTCTTCTTTTTTTTTTTCTGTTCCTTGAATTCCTCCCTCAATATCATCTTTGAAATTGGCATTCCAATTGGTGTGGTAACTTTGGAGAAAACCTGAAAAAACTCTACCTGGTCAGGCTGCATGCAGGACATCCTGCGATTTTTAAAGTTGGCTTTATTGTTTTGTTGCATACAGAAGATCTGGGGGATGTGATGGTTTGATGGGGCCTTTTTTTTTTTTTTTAATCCTTATGCCTTGGTTTAATGATGTGTCAACCTGCCATGGGAAGATTGACTGGCATAATGCTTATTACTTAAGATAAAGATAGATCTCTTGTGTGATGTAGGAGCTTTACAATAGATAGGGTCTTATCAGGGAAAGTCTGCCTAACCCAGGTAGGATTTGTGACTGGCTTCTACATTTCAGTTCTCTATACTTCTACTTAAATTAAGGAGACAAGTGTTCAAGAGGGAAATAAAGGGAAATAAAGGTTTGAGAACCAAAATTGAAACTTCCCTTCTCCATCCCGCTCCCATGGTGCTAAATTCCTCAGTTGGGGGTCTGGGATGAATTTGTGCACATCGCTGGATTTCTAGAAACATGAGAAGCTGAACATCATATGTTCTGAGAGGGCCCTTGGTCTCTGGAGTCCCTGGGCAATGTCGGATCCTTTTACACATGACAGATCTCTTAAAGTATGAGGTGCTGTTGAGGATTCAGAATCTCCACCCGGCTTTGGGTTTTTAATAACTCATTCCAGTGATGAGTTAGAGAGACAAGATATTGGCAGTATTGGTTGTCAGCCTCAGGGATTTGTAAACTGTGGCCCGCCTGCAGCCTGTTCTTGTAAAGATTTTTATTGGAACACAGCCACACCCATTCATTTCCGTATTATTGGTATTGTGCTCCAATGGCTGAGTTGTAGGATTTCCACAGAAACCATCTGGCCCCACAAAACTTAAAATATTTACTATCTGGCCTTTTATGGCTGACTCTTGTGAGCTCTCAGAAATGACTTTTGATGAACAATCCCTGCATTTGCAGCCTGTTTATTGAGAATGACCTTAGAGGAACCCTCCTTCCCTATTTCTCAGTGTTCAAGAGACTCAGGCTGAGTTGAATTTGAACAGTAGAAAGTTAGTATACCTTGGCACACTGAGAGGTTCTTCTCAGGCTGAAGGTAGAATTTCGGGAGGCAACTGGAGTTCACTTGGAAATACTTAGGAAGCCTTTCTTAGCCTTTGGGAAATTATGGATTGGGGAATGAATAAGTGGATAGCAGTCTCTGGATAATGAAGCCATATCCATATGCCTTAAGCTCTATTTTTTTTTGGTGGATAAAATATATATGCTTTGCACATATAATCTTTTCTTATGCATATAGCCTTTTAATTTCAAAAGAAATGCATACATCAATTTTATTGCTAAAACTACTTGAACAGAAAAGATAAAGCTAGTAACCAGGGACAGTATTCAAAATATTCAATAAAGCAGGGCATGGTGGTGCATACCTGTAGTCCCAGAGTTCCCAGAGGCTGAGGCAGGAGGATCACGAGTTCAAAGCCAGCCTCAGCAAAAATGAGGCACTAAGCAACTCAGTGAGGCCCTGTCTCTAAATAAAATACAAAATGGGGCTGGGGATGTGGCTCAGTGGTCAAGTGCCCCAAGTTCAATCCCTGGTACCCCCTCCCCCCAAAAAATACCCAGTAAATGTGTGGCATGGGCATTGACTGATCAGGCCTTAGACAGTGAGTGCTGCCTAATAGTCTGCCCTGGCACAATAGGTATTCTGCAAATGACCCCCTTTGACCACTGAGTCCTGAGTCCCATCCATTTTCCTTCCCCTTCGATATAACTTTCTGGAAAGTGGTGTATGCTTTTACATAGACACCCAGTGAATTTGGAGCATTTTGGGGACAGTTAGAAGATCTAAAAACAGTGCTAATACAGCACTGATGCATGACACCACACAGGAGAGGTATTCTTAAATACCTTCAAGTGCAATTTCTTAAAACGAATGTAGATGTAATTTGTAAAACACTAGTTCATTCAGAATGTCATTAAATTAACGTTTTATTTGAGCATAGGGAAGTAAAAAATAGCAGCTATCAAGATGATCTGAGAAATATTTCCTGTTAAAAAGAGCAACAGAAAACAAACAAGTATGTATATTCAAATATTAGCCTGGTTGGGTGTAAAAGTCTTTGGAAGGATCCCAAAGGCAAACCTGGAAACTGATGAATTAGGAGATCGGGGTAAGTAGGAGATGATTCTTTAGTAGATTCAGATTTTCAAATCCTGTAATTAGCCCATTTATTTTAAAGAATTAAATGCTAACCAAAACAGAAGGAAGTGTGTTGGTGGTTAACGTTGAGGTGCTCTGGTTGGGTCTGCTACCCCTGACAACTGTTCTCCTATCAGACCAA